CACCACATATAAATAAATAAAATAAATGTCCATTGACAACTAAAAAAATATTTTAAAAGGAAGAAATATATTGGATCTGTCCACTGGACAAGGGTTGGGGATGACCAGGCTGGCCAGAGGAGAACTGAGTGTGCTTCATCTACACACATAGGGCACAGCAGGTGTCCTGGTCCTAGGCTGGAGCCCTGGGTCAGCTGCTGACTTTCTGGATGCATCATTTTTGTTAGTTTTATGCCTTAGTTTCCCCATCTGGACCACAAGCCTGCCATGCACAGGCTGCGGTACAGGCACAAAAGTACTAGAGGTTCCCTGTGTCCATCTCCTCTGCTTTTCCTAAGCCAGGAAAAAGGACATGGGAAGAAACCCAGCACCCACAACTATGCCCACCACTCCTCAAACCTCAAGGATTCAGGACAAAATGTCAAAGGCACCACAGCTTGACAAGAGACCCTGGTTACTGCCTGCCCTGCAGGGGAAGGGTAGAGAATGATCTGGATGAGAGCCAACTGGGGGACCGGCTGCAGGCTGAGCCACAGACACAAGTCCTGAATGGAACCCAGAAGAGGTTTGGGTCTGGCTCTGCCACTGGCTTGCTGGGTGATTTGCCAGGCCTCAATTTTGCCTTCTATAAAATGGGAGTTATGAGGAAAGAGATGCCCAGATTAAAGTGCCACCTGAGTACAGACCACCGACAGCACCTGGCTGATTACAAATTACTAATGCTGCCTGCTTTCCTCCCTCCCACCTGACTCAGAAGACCTATGAGGGGTGGCCCCCTTCTTAGCCTGTGCTCGCCCAGTCAAATAAATCTGGTGGAAGGAGGGTCAGACTGCTTTGGCCAGCAGACTCCCAACTGCGGGCCTCCTTGTCTGAGTCACTGATCAGCTTCCCAGCTCCTGGCTGGGCTACGATGGCCATTCCTCCCCAGCCCTGGGACTGACTCCCTTCCCACCTATCCCATAGAGACCACAAAGGCTGCTGGGAATCAATCTTAGTCCCTGGAGACCACTCTCAGCCCCTGCCAGGCAAACTTCCACCTTAGGCAGAAGTGGGGCTTCATTTCACATATCCACACTGGTGGCCCTTTGGCTCATCTCCATCCATTGCAGGCACTGGTGACACATTTAAACTCTCGGGGAAAGTGTCAAAGGTAGGACCTTCTAAAGCAGGTCAGTATAGTTGCTCCTCTAAGGTCTCTCAGCTGTGTCTGCAGAATCGTTAAAGGTCCTGGGGTGCCTCATTACTTCCTTGCTGCCATTCCCAAATTTCCAACAGAGGGACCACAGAGGCAAAGAGGAAGGGACCTATGACGCTCAAGAAGATGATGCTAGAACCTAGGAGGGCTCCCAAACTTATGCTCCAGGAAGAGCTTCCTAGTTTGGATCTATGCAATGAGGAAGGAGCTGTCTGGCTCCTTGGAGCGTCTGGAGATGCTAGAAGAACACTGGCAGGTGTCTTGTGTCAAAGATGTTCTCTGGTTAAATAGGTATGGAAAATGCTGGGCTGAAGAATGGTTACTGTGTTTTATTCTGTAGGATTTTTCAGGACAGTGCCAGCAGGCATTGTATGAATCCAAGAAAAGACAGCATGGTGTTTTCCAAACAAATTTGATCCCAAATCCCTTCCCCCATCACCCACAAAGTACAGATCGCTTGACAGTAGGGTTATGCTTCCCAGCTACTTCTGTCCCTGGAGGAAAAGGGAAAGAAAAAGACTGCCCTGATAATCCAAACTGAACGGAGAGGGACAGCCATATTGTTCCCAATGATGGTGGTGGTGGTAGGGGTACAAGAATTAGCCAGGACAGGACCTGGGTATGACTCCAAGGGACTCAAAAGTAATGCTTAACTCTACTTTTTGCAGAACTAGAATCCCACAGTCCCTACACTGCTGTGAATTTAAATTCCAAACAGAACTTGGCAGGGAGGACCCCCATGCAGCCCAACCCCCACTCCTAAGAACTGCCTTCCAGGGCACCTGGAGAGAAAGGAGGGGTTTAGCCAAGGCCCAGTCACTCTCCAAAGACATACTTGTTGCCACAGATCAGGTTTCTGAAACGGAGGATTCACGGGGCCTGGTGTGTGGACCCAGAGGTCTTTTGAGAAACTGTATGAGGTGCCTATTCTGCCTTAGGTCACCTGCTGGTACTTGCCCCTACACTTACATGTGAACTCTGCCATCTCCCTTTCTGTTCCCAGGGCCAGAGTGCCACTCAGAACCCTTGGCTTATCTTCAGCTTCCATGGCTGAGGTTCCAGGGGTACAATGGGCCTCTGTGCCCCCATGTCCTCACCCCCCATGCCAGCTGCATTCATGGTGTTTTGCTATTGTGGTGGGAGCAGCCTGGGGGTGGTGCAGGAGGGGGTGGGCTCTTGGCACAGGGGCTGGCGCAGACAGGCTGTGGTCAGCGGTCAGCATGCAAGTCACATCCGCAGGCACTGCCACCAGGCCTGCCAGGCCTTGCACAGAATGGCAACGTTTCTGGGCCCCTAGGTCCCTTCATAGAGTCCCCTCCAGCCCACACAGGACTTGATGCTTCTCTGACTAGCCCCATGGTGGCATTGAGGTGGGGGGTATTTCTTCTTGCCTTCTCAGCCAGTTGCTATTTTGAAGCCATATTAGGTCACCAGCTAAGCCCTGTACGCAGGAAAGGCCTGTCCCCAAAGCACAGCTGGGGCTCTGAGAGGGTTTAAGAGGCGCAGAGGGAGGGGGGGGTGAGGACAAGGGAGCCTGAAGCCAAGAGAGCCTTCCGGATCTGCAGGCACAGCCCTCTATCCCATCCAAGGAAGCCACTGGCCTGTGAGCATAAGAGAAGCCCTTCTGGGCTCCCCAGCCCAGCCCCCTGCAGGCACATTCTCCCTCATTTGTACAGGTTTCCAGTCTCAGACACACTACCCTGGGAGACAAGAGGCTAACTTTAACAGACGGGCAATCTGAGACCCAGAGAGGGTCAGGAAGCTCCCTGAAGACAGCCATGAAAGAATATTCCACCATTGGCCCTTTATCTGCTCTTCCGCATTGCTGGGCCTCTTCATGGGGAAACTGAGTCACAGAAACAACAGCAGACAGCTCTCACTGAGCTACCACTGGGATCCTGGAGGCCAGAAATTTCCAAGAAGAGGCACAACATCCCACTCCTACAGGGGACTCCTAAGGGCCCCAAACTCCCAGGACCACTTAGCAGAGACCCACATGTAGAGAACAAGGCCATCATACAGTGGGAACGGAAGGAGGATAGTAGGGACTGAGAAGGGACCCTGCTTGATCCACAGGTAATGACAATCTTCTCCCTGGATAAGACACTCTTGGGGCACATACCCATCACCACTACTCACCCCCTGCCATCATGGTACCGCCACTCAATCACCTGCTACCATGGCTCCCCACCAAATTCCTCACCATTCACACACACTGTCTCATCTGCCTACTGATCTGTGGCCTCCACTAGCCTGTGCCCACAAAGGCCCATGGACCCACACAGAACTGAAAAAATGTTTGGTAAGAGAATCAACAACGGGAAACATCCAGGCACTGAGGAACCACTCCACAGTTTTCCGAAGTCACTGTACCTGAATCCAGTTCCCTGAGAGGTGGCAAAGTCTCTTACAAGAAAGATCCCCAGCTAAGAGCCATTCCTCCCCCAAAGACAGTGCTTTACTCTCTGGCATACAAATGCCTGGTACCAAAGGGTGCTTTTCCAGACTCATCTCTCTCTACCATGTTCAGTCTCCCCACGCCAGTTCTAGTCACACAGGTCCACAGAGCAATTCAGGAGGTGCTGGCCTTAGGCCAGGATTTTATGTGTCCATGAATCCTCTGGTAAATAATGGCCAAACACATCTATGAGACCAGAAAGGGTGACCCTCTGCCTCCTCCATATACCCTGGCACTCCCTGGCATAAACAGGCCCTCTTCCCCAACCTTCTCAGAACTCTGACTCTCCAGAGAAAGTGAAAGTGACCCTCATGTATGGCCCCCAAACACCTCTGCACCTTTCTTTGCAGACAGCCGCCACAAGATGGACAACTGAAAGCCAGTGATGGTTGTCTGCAATTCTCAAATAAGGCTGGAGTAAGTGGGGAGTGCATGAGAAGTCCAGCAGGAGAGGGGAGTGGAATCTGGGGAGGCTCTGGAGAAGACCCCTCAAAAGGTTCTAAGAGGTCATGGCTATCTGTGTGTTTATCTAGCTGGGGAAGAGGCACTGCCCGGTAGACTTTGTAACTGAATCCACCAAACAGGCAGACTTTGCGACATAGGCGGCCCAGGTTTCTGGGGAAGGCGCTGGGCAGCTGGAACTGCTCCCCCTATCTAGTCCTCCCCCACTCCCTCTAAGGATTTCCCTTTCATTTCCTTCCAGGCTGGGAGGGCAGAGGACAGCGCAGTCTGCGGGGTCAAGCCCTCAAAAACCACTTCCTATGTGGCTGGGGGAGGGCCAAGAAGCTGAAGGATGGATCTGGAGGGTCCCTGTGTGGGAACAGCAGGAAAAACCCTCTGGGCGAGTCACTGTTCTCCAGGGCGCCCCTCGGGTCGGCAACCTCCGGAGGTCGAGGAGAAAAGATTTTAGGCCTTTCCAAGAGGAGTTCGGAGCAGAATCTGCACTGGGTTTCAGTCCGCGATCGCCAGGAGGGGTATAGGATTGGGCGAGGGAAAGTCACTTGGAAGGGGCTCCCCGCCCTGGCCGCACCCCGGCTGTCTGGAAAGAATCCGGAGACACCCCCCCTGCCCCGCCTCAGCCTGCTTCGAGCAGGGCTCCCAGGCTGGGAGAGGGGGCGGGAGGGCTCTGCCCGGGCCTGAGCTGCTCCCAGCCGTACTCTGACGGGAGGTGACGCGCTCCCGGCGCCCCAGGGACTTCGGGCGGCAAGTTTGGCAAAGCTGAACGAAGTCGAGCCAAACCGGGTCGGGCAATGAGGAGCCGGCCGGGGCCAGGCCAGGAAGAGCCGGGCAGATAGGAAACGGTCTGGCGCAGTGGGGCGGAGGGCGGGAGCGCGCGGGGGCACCCACCTCTCCGCGCTGCAGCTGGAAGAAGCTGTTGAGATAGCTGGAGTGCAGGGGCGAGCCCAGCTGCTCCGGGCGGCCCTTGCCGAAGGCCAGCTCCGGGGGCGCGGCGCCGGCGGGCGGTTCTGGCCTGAAGGCATCGAAGGCACTAGCCTGGTGCGTGTCCTGCAGCGACAGGTAGACCCAGTTGAGCAGCTGGGCCGGCTGGTACACCGAGGCGGCACTCGTGTCGATGGCCGACAGCAGGCTCATTTTGCCGCGGCTGTGCCGGCCCCTCCCCGGCCGCCCGCTCGCGCCCCCCTCCCAGCGGAGGGGCGGGCACCGGGGAGCCTGTGCCCACTGCCAGCCGCCCAAGCCCCGACGGCGATCGCCTCGCGTCCTATGCCCTGCGCCCCGAGCGCTGCCCGCAGCCGCCGCCGCCACCGCCTCCCCCCGACTGCAGCCGGGGCGCGCGCGGGCGGAGGAAGGAGGCAGCGAAAGTTGGGCAGGAAACTTTTGGGCCCGCCCCCTCTCGCCGCCCGCCCCTCCCCGCCCCGCCCGGGATCCGCTATCTGCCTCAGTGCTGACCCCTCCGGCGGCCGCTCCCAGGGTGGGGTCCACAGAGACTCCGCCCCGTCCTCTTCCTCCATTGGCTGTCTCATTGAATATGGGATAGCAGGGTGGGGAGAATGGGGAAAGGAGGCTCAACTACACATGTAGCGCAGCGTAGGCCCCGCCCCTGGACGGCCCCCCTCGCACGCCCTCCGCCCCCAGCCCGGCCACCACTGGCGCTCGGTACTGCCCCGCCTAATCCCTACTGTCCGCTCTCTTCCACTTCTTTTCGAGTCCTCTCCAAATACTTCATTTTCACTTGCTTTTCCTTCTTTCTCTCTCTTCAGTGTCTCTCTTCTCGCTGTTGATCTGTTTTTCGGTTATTCTGTCCCTGTCCGTCGGTCTCCTTCTCTCCCTCTCCGGTATCTTCTACTTATGTCCAGTTTGATCATTTCTTCTCTGTCCCTCACCCCTCTTTCTCTCTCACACACATACCCACACACACACTTCTACCTCCCTTCTCTTGCTATCACCGTAGGACCCTCCCCTCCCACTTAATTCCTTCCATCTGCAGAATCGCTTTGCGGGCCGGCTGCGCCAAGGGGGGCCCGGGTTCCTGCCCCAGGAAAGACTCCCCGCCCCCTTCCCTCCTCCCTCTCTCCCTTCTCCTATTTCGACTGTGGGCCCGCCTCGCTTCTCGCCCCTCTCCTCCACCTCGGCGCTATTCTCAACCCGCCCCAGTCCCTTGGCCAGTCGCCAGGACTCCAGCGTGGGGCCCATTACTCCTCAGAACCAAGATTCGCCTGGGGGAGCCCCGCCCTGGTCTGACACCTCCCGAAGCCCCCAGGCTTTAGCCTTCTCAGGAGCCGGGTAGTTAGCACCGGCGCCAGCTCTGGGGACCTAGCAGCAAGGTTCAGCCTCACTGAGCCCACGCAGCGGAACTGCCCTCCTGGCAGGGATCGGAGTCACCTCTCCCACCTCCAGTCGGGCTCTGGAGCCGTTCCCCTCAGCCTTTAAGTGCCAGCTCGGCCACCTTCCAGCTGAGTGACCTCAGAGTGACGCCTGACTGCAAGAGAGCCTGTTTTCTCCTCTGTAAAATGGGATGGTCCTAATGCTAACGCTGGGGATATTTGTGAGTTTACCAGCTCCGGTTTGGTAAGCCAAAAATGTATCTTGCAGGTCAGCTCTCCACCAGACCACCTGCTCCCGGAGGATTTCTCCCATTACCTTTCAGGCAAGGCAGCTGAGCACATCTATGGATGCTTGGACCAGAATGACTTTCAGTGGTGACCAAGTGCTACCCAGTCCCAACAACCAAGAACACCTTTGATCTCAGATCTCCATCTTTTGAGTTTGTCTATCAAACAATTTGCAATTTTTAAGGCAAATGATAACACATATACCAATCATATCTCAGTATTATTCATCAAAGACATCTACATCACAGTGTTAAGCCTGTTCCTTTCAAGAGGAGTTACAAGATTATTGGAAATAAATGTGAAAGCCATTTTAATCTTAGAAATATTGGGGGTCATCTCTGGAACTCTGCTACTGTCTTTGAGCTCCCAAAGATAGAGGGAAGGGAGCCACAGTGCAGATCTTCCCTAGATTTTATAAAAAGAAAACTGCTTTTCAAAGAGGTGATATTTTCCAACTGCACAAGCAAGCAGTTGGGAAGCCCATAGGAGACCCTGAGTCACCCAGCCCCATCCTGGAGCCCACTCTGCCCCCACTCTGTTTTTCTTCTGGATGAAGGTAGCCTTGTTATGTCAAATGCTGAAATTTTTCCCTAGTGTGGATTACAAATCCAAATTCCTTCAGGGACCAGGCAGGTATAGGACAATAAATAGGTAGTGATAGGATTGGTGAAGAACCAAAGTGCTGGACATAAAATAATACTTCCATCAGCTTGTCAGCTTGAGACTGCAAGATGCCTTTCTGGTCCTTCCCTGTCCTCAGAGGGTACTTGTCATACCTGGGGACCCCGCTAATGGGCCCTGCCTCTTTTTCTCCTCCCTCTTCCCATAGTTCCTACACAGACACTGGTGTACAGATAGTGGATGGTGGGGAATTATGAGGTGGTTTGATGACTGGATGGAGGGGTGTAGAGCGGTGGATGGAAGGGAGGCCAGTTAGCTCCCCTTTGAAGCCTAAATGGCTTCTTTGGTTTGGTACTCTTCTCCTCTTGACCACAGCAAACCTGCTCAACTCTTGAGCTCTGTACCCAGTAGGTGATCAATTAATGTGAGCAATTTACAAGCAGTTGGCCTAGATAACAACTGGTTGACCTGAGGTCGGCCTCTCAGCAGGCTGCTGGGGACATATGCTCTTCCAGAGACAAAATGTCCTATGGGATGGGGGTGGTGGGTGTGATTAACTAGGTACCAGACCAGAGGACTGGGCCAGCCTAGACTCTGTGCCTTCCTACCCTATCATGTACAAACCGAGAAAGCTTGCATAGAAAAAAAAATGTCAGAGGTTCTAGCCCAATCCCTCATTTTACATGGGAGGAGGCACAAAGGCCCAAACAAGAAAGGGACTTTGCCAGAGTCAACCACTAAGCCACCTGCTTCTAACCACATTCTAGTTCTTCCTTCATGGGTTCCAATCTGGCAGGCTCCTAGGAGGCTTCTATATTTCAGCTTGTGGGATGCCTATTTGAAAGATGGGAATTAAAATGCCCACCCTAAAGCTGAGTGGCAGATCTACATTATTTTGAGAAAGCCTTATCTACATCAAAAAAACAGAAGGGAAGCCAGCTTGTGGAGACTGCTTCCTAGGTCACCTGTGGCCTTCCTTTCCACTCAGAGTCTTTCCATCCCCTTGAATAAGTGCCCAATGGGCATAGCATCCAAGACCTTTTCTGTATTTGACTCCTGACCACCTCTCTACCCAAATTGCAGGTACACCTTGGTCCCAGATGTTGACCTCACAGCTGGTGGAAAAAGCCTTGCAAGTGAACCTCTAGTCCCTGCCTGCTGTTTTGGTGACTCCAACCACTCATAGTCCCCAGAATTGGACAATGGATACAAGATGATTGGAGAAAAGACACGTGGGCGAGTGTCCTTGAGCAGGTCTCTGCCCAGTCAACAAATAAAAATGTGTGTCACATGCCTACTTACTTCTCCAGGGACTAACAGGATTGAAGGAGGATCTGAGCAGCCGGCTGGTGCTGAGGGAAGGGTGGTCCGGTCATCTCAGTCATAGTCGTAGGCCGTTTATCTAGGGAGATGGGAAAGAGCGAGCAGGGATATGTCTGCCTCTAAGTTGCCGGGGCAGCAGGTTTGACAGGCATGTGGTGGAGTCTCAAATCAAGAGCTCTGAGCTGTGAAGGGGCAGGAGAAGCTTGAGGGAGAAGAAGAAGCGGGCCATCTGTGTGAGGGCATCAGCCTTCAATTTGGGCCTGTGCGGCAGAGGTGAGCAGAGAAGTCGTGGCTGCACAGGGCTGTGCAAAGCCATGCTGCCTCTTTCTCTGAAAAACACCTCATGGTGAGGTGTCCTGCAAAGGAATCCCCCATCTACTTGAACTGCCTTTGCCCCCTGCATCAGGAGGAAACAGCAAAGCATACCCCGGCAGGGCTGTGATTCCCTGTCCTCTGTGCCTGGGCGGGTATTAGGTGCCTTTGGACTGTGTGTTGACACAGAAGGTATCAGCTTACAGCAGAGGGTAAAATGGCAAATACTCTCCTTGCCAGCGCCTGTCCCCTCCCCCACCAGGGACCAACATGCTGAATGCAGACCTCCTGCCCGGACCTGACTTATCTTCCTCCTGGACGCTGCACTCCTGGTCACCACGAACAAGGGCCCACGAGATGAAACATATTTGCCATCTCAACCTTTTGCCCACCCTTCCAGGGCACTTGCTAATCTTCATCATGACTCAGAATTAGAAAAGCGGTTATACTATACCCAGTGCCACCGCACGGTACCTTGGTGTCTTACAGTGGCAGCCCCTTGTTGCCAGGGCACACAGTTTGGTGAACACCAACAAGATTTCACCCTCACTAGTCCCAGATGTCTTGCAAAGCCCAGATGGCAACACTATAAGGGCGGCCTGACCACTCCAGGCCCTCACCCCCAGGCTCTTGACCAGCTTTTAGGATAGTGCCAGAAGGGGAGCTCAGCCTGTCACTGCATGCAGGCTCTGAATGGTGGGGAGCCACTTGTGTCTTTGGAGACTGCTCCCTTTCTAGCTATGTGACACTGGCCTCCCTGCAGTTGCTGGAACCCCAGGATGATGCTGGGAGGGCAGGATCCTCTGAAGACCCTGTCTCTGGAAGACCCTCAGAGAGCACCTACGTGGATCCACGGCTGCTAGAAGGTGTGAGGTGGGCACAAGGTGCAGGACTGGATGTCAGGGCTTAGGGCTTGTGTGTGGCCTGGGCACCTGCAGACCCCTGGGCTACTCAAAGTCCCAAGAACAGGCCTAGTAGGCTCTCAGCCATCTTCAGAAAAGCAGTGGAGTAAGGACAGACCCTTCTGCACACTGGAACCATGCGTGCAGTCCCTTCTTCCCCTCCTTCCAATTTCATATCCACTTTCCTAAAAAGAAGGAAGGAAGGAAGGAAGAAAGGAAGGGAGGGAGGGAGGAAGGGAGGGAGGGGGGAGAGAAGAAGGGAGGGGCATGTCATATACAGTTTCCTAGTGGCCTCTCAGCAAGCCTTACCTTGTGGGGGACCCCAGGTTTCCAGGGCCCCTGGCCACTTCAGAAGATGCCTGGCCACTTGAGACAGCCGCCAAACAGTAGTGTGTTC